CTACAGAGTGAGTGCCAGGATAGGCTCTAAAGCTACACAGAGAAACTCTGTCTCGAAAAAACAAAAACAAAAAACAAAACAAAAAAAAAGTGATTAGTTTGGAGCATATGGTCTCTTCCAAGGTGTCCTTATTGAAGAGGAGGGGAAGGGAGGAAGAGAAGGAAGACTAAGAGGAAAAACACCCCCAAAGACTACCTGTTTTGAGAACTGGATGTGTGCCTGGCACAAAGCTACATGTTATTCCTGGCCCATACCTCATGGTCCATGACCCTGTGGCCTTCCCTGTGTTAGAAGCTAGGCAATGCTAAGAAGACCCCCTCAAAGCAGCCATTTCCACATTCTCATTTCCTGATGTGGAACTCAGCCGTCTGGCCCACTCTAAACAACACGGAGAGTCTTTGTACCCTGGCTTCTCTGCATAACAGCATCTCTGTCTTTCAGTTTGACTAAGCTTGGAGCTTCTGTTCAAGGAATGTTTTGTGCCCTCTTGGAATCCCTGAAAACTTGAGCCTCATAGCCTGGGTATGGGCAGCACTCCTTCCGGTTGACAGTAGATAACTAGTCATGAGAGATCCTTTGTCACCTGTAGGCTGGTACAGGGGCTTCTGCAGGGGCGCCTGCCACCCTGTGCTGGGGTAGCTGCCTGCACGGACAGGTGGGAGCAGGGATGCCTGGCACAGCAGCCAGGCAAACAGACCGCCTGGCCAGAGCTTGCAGAGCCTGATGTTAGGAGTGGGCACTAGGGCCCTCAGCTTGTAGCAACTTGCTCTGTGCTCAAGCTGCCAGGGCATCTGCCCACAGAAGTGTGGAGTTTCACAAGAGCAGGGGAAGGAACCAGAACCAGAGAGTAAATGGGTTCTGGGCTTCAAGAACCGTCCACTGACCCCAGCCCATCATGGAGGAGGAGGAAGAGAAGGTGGAGGAGAGAAATCAATGGAATCAATGGGGGCTAAAGAAGTACTTATGGTATGCAGGAGTGAAGAGTCAAAGCCACAGGCATTTGAGAAAGTCTTTGAGAAAGTAAGATGGTGCCTTCTTCCCACAACCAAGGTACACAGCCCAAAGAACAGTGCTGGAAGGATGCCACGCCCAGGTGGCTGACTCATCTGCCCAAAGAGATGCCAACCCTCCTCCCACAGAGGGTGTCTGCTCAACCCCTAGGAGGTCAGGTGGGGTTGGGGGAAAAGGTGCCAGGAGCATCCCAAGGAAAGGAAGGGCCGAAGGTCATGGTCTGTGGAACCATGGTCAGGTGTTCAGTCTCTCCTGTCCATGTGGAGGGTGGGTAGAGTGAGAGATGGGAGCTCCAGAGGCAGGGCTCTTCCTGTCCCACTGTGGGCGTCTGCAGGCATGTTGATCAATCAGCCCGGCAGATTTTGGTAGCCCTCCCAGGATTCTGTGATGTTATTCTCCTACTTAGAAACTTCTGCATCTTTCCTGCTTGCCAGGACCAAATTGAAGTCAAGGCCTTTCATAATCTGGTTTAACTCTTTCCAACCTTGTTTCTCAGCATCCTTGGACACAGCTTCTGTTCTAGGCATGTTGGCATTGCTGTTAGTCTATTCTTTCCTAAGTGGCCAGCTTTTTGCCCATTTCCCATGAAGCCTTTCTTGATTGCCCTGATCTGCTCGGGCTCTTGTTCCCACTCCTGCAGGGTTAGTGTTTACCACCCACATTAGCACCCGAGTCTTCCACTCTTTGAGACTCATAGCTGCTACAGACTTTAATAAATGTTGACAGAGAAACTTAAGAAATTCAAGTCTGGGGCTGGAGAAATGGCTCAGTGGTTAAGATCACTGGCTGTTCTTCCAGAGGACCTGGGTTCAATTCCCCTCACCCATATGGCAGCTTATAACTGTCTGTATCTACAGTTCTTGGGGATCTGACACCTTCATGCCAATGCACATAAAATAAAGTTAAATATATTATTTTTTTAAAAAAAGAAATTCAAGGCCTCCTTTCCTAGAACATAGGATGCCTAAGGACGAGGGTTGCAAATCTTGTTTGTGTCCCCTTACAGAGGTTAGTGGGGGGAGGGTCCTGCCATGCAACTTGCCACGTTGTGTGACACCAGCTATCAAGTGTGTCTACCATGTAAGTAATTTTCACGGTCATTGAGAACTGCACTGGGCTGTCTGCACTCTGCAGTGTCAGGAATAGCCCTCATAGCATGCAGGCTCACTGTGTAACCCATCAAAGCTGACCTCTTTAAGTAATTGTGATTGAAACACTTCCAAGACAGACTGATCTGTAAGGGACTACCTGAACAACAGTAAGCTTTTCTCAGATGATGCCTTCAAACTCTGCAGGCTGAGGGATAACTCCAGAGTTGTACACTTTGGGGTCTTTGTGTGATTTGGCACAGCTTCTGTAGACACCTCTGCTAAGTTATGTGTTACATGTTGGCTCTGTTTATTGCCTCTAGAGGTATGGCTTTCTTTCTCTTTTAAATGTACCTTATTTTTTAATTTTAGGAGTGTTTTGCCTGCATCGCGTACCATATGTATGCCTGCTGCCTGTAAAGGCCAGAAGAGGGCATCAGATCACCTGGAACTGGAGTTACAGATGGTTGTGAGCTGCCTTGTGGGTGCTAGAAATCAGACCCAGATCCTCTGGAAGAGCAGTCAGTGCTCTTATCCACTGAGCCACGGTTCCAGCCCCATGTGACGTTTTGTTGTTTTGTTTTGATAGGGTCTCATTATGTATCTCTGGCTATCTTAGAACTTACTACGTGGACCAGGCTGGTCTCAAACTCAGGGATCCATCTGCTTCTGCCTCCCAAGTGTTGGGTAAGTGCCACCACATCAGGCTTTAAGATTACTTTTGATCTTTTGGGACCTAGAATTTCTGGTAATCAAGTTTGGCACCATATGAAGGTAGGAATAACGGTGACTTACTTTTTTTTTTATGTACCAAGCATTGTTATAAGTACCTTTTAGGTCAGGCTGTGGTGGCACATGCCTTTAACCCCAGTGCTCCGGAGTTAGAGGCAGGAGGATCTCTGTGAGTTTGAGGCCAGCCTGGTCTACAAAGCAAGTTCCAGGAAAGCCAGAGCTGTTACACAGAGAAACCCTGTCTCGAAAAACCAAAAATAAAGAGGGCCTTTTGCACATTAGCTCACTATAACAATCCTTTAAGGTAAATATCTTCATAAAAGAAGAAAATGGGGCCCAGAGAGGTTGTGTAGCTTGCTCAGGGTAACACAGCTAGCCATAGTAGAGTCAACATTCAGACTTGGGCAGTCTGGTTCTGGAACTAATGATCATGCCCACAAGTCCATCTCCCTCTGATTATGTCAAGCTGTATGTAACTGCTCAGTGGGAGTCTCTCTCAGACATGAAGTCCTGACACAAACAGTCTTGAGTAAAGCTAAAGAGTGTGAACAACTAAGGGAACAAAGTTTGTCAGTGATTTACTTGAAGAAGACAATAAAGATTCAAAATTAACTTCAGAGACAAGCGGCATGATTTAGTGGGAAAAGCCACAGTCAGTAGAGTGCTTGCTTGCCAAGTCCGGCCACTTGAGCTCAATACTTGGAACCCACCTTGTGGAAGGAGAGAACTGACTCCCACAAGTTGTCCTCTAACCTCTACATGTGTGCTATGACACATGCCCCAGCTTAAATAAGTAAACAAATAATTTAAAGTTCAAAGTTAACCTTTAACACCTTTCTTCCCAACCACTTGCGTTGAACAGCAGCCAGGCCTCTCTGCCTGGGGATGACTAGTGAAATCTGAGACTCTGGTTCCTATCCAGAGCTTCCAGGAAGCAATACTGAATAGGGACCTTGTTCACACCTTCACATACACTGTGTGATCTGTGAAATAGTTAGCTTAAAGGGCTTAGTAACCTCGTGGGAATTTCAAAAATAATTTTCTTGGTGAGTTGATACTTAGATGCTACTACTACTGGCCGGAAGATGCTCTTTTGAAGTGAAGCCAGTGACCTAGTAACAGGGTCCTGGGGAACTCCGCAATGGATGAGACTGAACATCAGTAGTTGGTTTAGGCAAGCCGGTACAGCCTCCACTTCCTTGCAAATCCCTTGGGGGACACGAAATAGCTTTGCATAAGTTATTTGCATGTAAAATGTTTCCTGTCCAACAATGTCTAGACTCAAGTTGGAAAGTGAAGATGTGCAAACGTGAACAGTTTTAAATGTGACTATGTTACTCGTGACCTCAGAACACCAAGAGAGAGGACATAACTTTTCCCCACAAATGAATGACTCAGACAATATCAGAGTTAGGCTAAGCTTACTAATCTCTATAGACTGATGAGAATCTAGAGATAATAGCATGTGGAAAGCTGATATTCATTTAACACGTTTACCGAGCACCTCCTATGTCCCCGGTGCCATGCAAACATAAGGAAACTGGGGAAGAAAGACACACACATGAAAATATTAAAGTTACAACAAGGGGGTGGTTCTGGGCAGGACAGATTTAGCAAGATGCAAGAACTCAACTCCATAGTCAAGACCCTGAAGCAGAGGGCTGAGGCCACCCTGAGTTTGCATAGCAAGACTCTATCTCAAAAGCAAAAAGAATAAGAAACAAACTTCAAATAAGAACTGTCTTGGATTTGAAGACAGAGGAAAGGAGTCTCAAGAGGGACAAAGCTCTCTTTAGTCTATCCCTTGGGGTTCCAGGCAGAGTGTGGGGATGGAACAAGTGCTGACTTGCTGCGAGTGCCTATGGGGTTTCCCTAGATGGAGCCCATAGGCCAGGCCTAGGGCAGAATAGACACATATATCATGTTAGCTCAGAGGCATAACAAGTTAATTTTCTTGACTTTTCTTAGCTGCTAAAAAAAAGTAGTATTCACATGCTTAGGGGTTCTGAGAATTTAAAAGGAAACTATGTGCTCTAGATGCAGTATTTGGCACCCCCAGCAGATTGTCAGCAACCACTGGTTCCTGTCAACTTTTCATAAGCCTCCCCTTCCCCTACTTTCCTATGAAGGACCAGATTCCTGCTCTAGCTGGAAGGAAGACTGAGTAGTTCCTAGTCTCTCCTAGCAGTTTGAAAATAGTGAGATATTTGATTGTCTCTGGACACACAGAGGGTGGGGAGCTAGATGGGTGGGGTGGGTGGTAGTGGTGGGTGGTGGTGGTGGGGAACAGACAGACAAAAGCCATTGTAGGGGGTTGGCTCTGGAGGGTTCTAAGCCAGGGACTTTAAGCCTGGATGTGCAAAGCTGGGTGACCCAAGACAGGAGTTGCATCTCTTGGGAACAAGCTTCCTTCCAGAGCAGTGAGAGCTGGTTCCATTCTTGTTGGAGCTCCCAAGACAGGAGTTGCATCTCTTGGGAACAAGCTTCCTTCCAGAGCAGTGAGAGCTGGTTCCATTCTTGTTGGTTCCATCCCTCTCTGCTGGGAGCACCAGGATGTAGGCAAGACAAGGCATGTGTGAGATGCCATGGACGACCAAGATGAGATCTAAGATGCTTTGGAGGAGGCCATCCACTTCTGGCTGGCTGGCACCATTGTGTGATAGCATGTATGGGGGGTGTCTTAATTCAGCATTTGGGGGTTGGTTTGCTCCTGTGGGGCTCCTGCGGGTGTCAAGAAAGCGACCTGAATTGAGTTGTAGTCCCAGATCACCACCAGCTTGCTTTTTGGATCTTGGTTCTGATGTTTTGTCCTTTCTGGGTCTGAGAAGATCTTCAAGTGTTAGCAATTGCATCTTAGTGAACCCCAACAATGGAACCCAGAGCCATTCTTGGATGGCAGAAACCTTAGGACACTATGGAAGCTTCTCCAAAGAGGTATCCTGTTCCACAGAGGCAGGGCACTTCTGTGTGCTCACTTGAGCACAAGGCACAGAACAGGCCCCATTAAGAATGTCTGAGAACACCTAGCCAGCCTTGGTTCTCCGCCTCTCACTCTCCAGTATAAACACAGGAGGTGGGGTGGGGCAGTGACTAGGTTGCAGCCATGGCATGTCCAGACCTGCACGTTCCTGTGGTATGAACAGCAACCTAGGTCTGGAAACTCCTTCCAGGGCTGCCAATGTTGCTGGCAGCTGGGATCAGGACTGAGGCGCCTCAGTGAAGGCCCTAGAAGGAGGGCCAAGGTGACTCTTTGCTAGTGCTTTGCGAGACAGCGCATTTTATTTCCCTCTCATCCTGAGTCCTGCTCTATGACTTCCATCTGCTCCTGACATGTCTTCCTAGTTTTTCCTCTCTTCCTCTTTCCTCACATTGCCACAGCCAAAAGGGCTTCACAGGGTGACTGCAGGCCCACAGCTTAGCAAGGCACGGACCCTGTCCTAGAGCCAGGGTTTGGGGTCTGGGTGTAAATGCTGACAGCAGTGTGCAAAGGGAACAAGGGCTTCTGTGGGGACCAGTGCCCGTGCTCCAGCCCATGTGGCCCAGATGAGCCCTTCCCCAGTATCTGCTGAATTCTATGGGTTCTCTCTTTAAACACAGCTCCTTGAAATATCCCAAATTGCAGCCACAACAGCGTTGCTTCACCCATACCCTTTCCCCTGGTCCAGGATCTTTGGGGCTACACAGTAGGTAGAGGCAGACCTCAGTGGAGAAACCTGAATGACAGTGACCACGGCCATTTTGTGACTGCAGGTTAGCCCCCACTCCCACCTGTCTCCTGGGCACTCACATTCCTTCATCATGCCGATGTCCACACAGCGTTTGAGCCGGCAGGCCTGGCAGTGGCGACGGTTGTCCTTGGTGATTCGGCAGTCTCCATTGAAGGGACAGGTGAACAGTGCCTTCCGCTTCATGCTCCGCCTGCCAAGAGGGCACAATTCTGCACTGAGTCATTGGCCTTCTGGACACTTAGCCCAGCCTAAGCACAGCCTTCAGGGACCATAACTATGGAGACCTGGCTACAAGGCCCCTAGATGTCTATTTTTCCATTCCATTGAGCCAGTCTCAGTGACTCTGAGCCCTGCCCCGAGGTAGGTATACTAACTAAAGACTAGCAGTTCACATTCATTGGAATATGGGGATTAAGACAACCACAATCCTCAGCAACCAGACTGACTTGGCCCATGGATGGGGAAAAGACACCAGAGTGAGGCTCCCTAGCCACTACAAATAGTCACAGACTCTTGGGTCCACTCAGAGGACCTTGGTATGACTGCCTCACTTAATAGATGGGGTCCCTGAGGTTAGGAACTATTCAGTAAGAAATTAAGGCTTCAGATCTGAGAGTCGCAGGGGTCCAGGACTCAGCTTCTAGCTCCTTGGATGGCTTTCAATCTTAGAAACTCAAAGTGCTCAATAAAGTTGAGCCCTCAGCCAGACTCAGACTCAGCATAGCTCAAGGCCAGATGGGCCCAGGATGAAGGGCCATCTGTTGGCTTTGAACTTTGGCTTTGGTACCCTCCATTGATGACGTTTCATACTCAAGAGGGCAACACTGGGACTGTAATGACAGTAGGTAGTGCCAGGCTGTTAGGGGTGGTATGGCCCTAAGTTTAGGCCACTCCATCTGTCCTGTGAACATTCAGGAAGAGACTGAGTGGTGAGCCAGTGTCCACCTTTGTGGGGACAAAAAGCTTTCAGCTTTTGCCTTTATACCTCAACTACAGGGAGAGTACTTTCCTACTGGACAGCAAAATACAAAAGCAATTTGGGAGCCATCAGGGTTACCCAGGAATGAGATCATCATAGCCACATTGGTCTATTCTAGGATAGGAGCCATGTGTCCCTCCCTTCCTCCTTCCTCTCCTTCCTGCCTTGGTTGAGGCTTCACCTGTTACCACAAATGCCCACGACTCTCTAAACCTACTCAAAGACCAGATGTTTCTAATTCAGAGCAAATTCTCATTTCCTTTTTGTTCACAACCAGGCATTTAGTTCCAGGTCTTAGTGGGGCCGCTCCCTTCTCCGCCCACCGTCTTGTCTAGCTTAGAAGTCCTTGCTGTGAACCCTCCATGTGGACCATTGCAAATCCTCAACCAGCACCTGGCGGGGCAGAGAGCTCCCCAAACACTAGGCAGAATATCCAGAGCCCTTCAAAGGCCTGCTTGTAATTCCTCAGGCTCTAGGGTCTTTCTGGCCTATGACCTATGACTGAGGGACTGTCTTAGTTCCTTTTCCTGCCGCTATGATAGAATAACGTGACAAAAACAATGTCAGAAAGGGTTTGTTTCAGCTCGCAGTTCCAGATTACATTTCATCAGAACAGGGAGCTCCTAGAGGCAGGAAGTTGAAGGAACTGGTCATATCACATCCATCCCTGAGTGCTGTAACAGTTTTCAAAATGCAAGAAGTGGTCTGTAAATTTGTGAAGCTTTTAAATCATAATTATTAAAGTATGGTACCCAGCTCTTCCTGAGCTTCTTTAAATATGTAGCCAGGGAAAAGGAATGGTGTCTGGGAAGACAAACTTTTGACTTCATGCTCTAGGAAGGACAGCAAGCTCACTGGCTGGTCACCACTGGCTGGTCACTGGCTGCCTTATTCTCAGAACCAGGAGCAGGTCTGGAACTGGCCTGTTGGGTCTGTCTTTTTAATATGGATGTTAGCCGGACCATAGGCCCTGCTGGCTTGGAGACCAATTTATTCTGTCCTCCCACACTCTAAGGGCACTTCAACTTGTGTTTGCCATCTAGCGTCTGCCCACAAGGAGTCAGGGCAGCCATACTGCCCAGTCCTGGCCCCGTGCTTTGTCCTAAAGCCCCACACCCTACTCTGCCTTCCTCCCAAAGCTAATTGCCTATGAGTTAGTTTGGTTTTGAGAAACAAGAGCCTTCCCATTCCGAAGGAGCCCAGTGCCTCTCTCTGCTGTTTCTGAGTCTGAACCCTGTCATTCTCTGGCTGACTGGCAATTATATCCCAGTTCAGGAAGGGGACCAGGGGTGGTGCAACTAGGCTAAATATAGAGGCAGTTACTAGAAAGCCAGGGGTTATAGAGGACATTGAGCAGTTCTCATGCCAGAGACCAATTCATCAAAACATGAAAGAGACAAGGAGTTCACAAAACCATCAAGTGCCAGGGGCTAGGGCCTCAGGCTGGCAAGTGGGTGACTTCTGCCAGGAGCATGGTATCAGGTGCTCTCTGAGTTCTGTCTGTGGTGAAGTTTTAGAGATCTCAGTGGCTGGGCAGGACACAGAAACTGCATGGAGTCCTAGATAGGGGAGATCAGTGTGAGATCATGGACATGTTACCTAGGTTGATAGTTGTGATCACTTCATAGTATGGGGTGTGTTGTGAAAAAGAGATAGAGAGATGATAGAGACTGATGATTGAGATAGATAGATGATAGATAGATAACAATCATAGAGACAGACGAAAGAGATAGATGATTGAGACGGATAAGATAGATAGATAACAATCATAGAGACAGACGAAAGAGATAGATGATTGAGATGGATAAGAGATAGATAGATAGATAGATAGATAGATAGATAGACAGATAGACAGACAGATAGCATTGTGTACCTTAAATACAGACCAGTTTTCTTTGTCAAACACAGCCCAGTAAAGCTGGAGCAAAGGTGACGTCTCAATGTCACTTGACAATGACATTTGTAGCAATACCAATGGGTTCTCAGCAGATGCTCTACAAAACTCTAAGGAAGGTTAACATTGGTCGAGACCACAGCACTGCTTTCTGGCGGGCATGGACCCTAAATGCCTAGGCTATGGATTTATCCTGTGGGTAGATCAGGAGTGTGAAAAACCAAGCTGACGTCCATTATAGAGGGTAGGTTCATTACATCCTAGGACTTCCACATGCTATATGACCAGGGAAAGTCAGGGGGAACAGTCAGAAAGTGGAATGGGCTCTCGAAGATAAAGATACAGATGAATGATGGTGGTAGTGTCATCCATTTACATGTGTACTCATGTGCATGCACATACACTGACATACACACACACACACACACACAGACACACAGACACACACATACACACACATACACACACATACACATTCACACACCAGAGACAGACACACAGACACAAATACACACACATACACACACACACACAGAGAGAGAGAGCACACACATACACACATATACACACACACACACATTCACACACATACACACACACAGAGACAGACACACAGACACAAATACACACACATACACACACACACACACAGAGAGAGGGGGGGTTCATACAAAGAATTCAAAAGTGAGTAGAAGGAACTGATTGTATTAATCTCTCCCAGGAAGAAATGAGGGCTGGGAAGTGGGTCGAATAGGAGACGACTTGGATTTTGTTTATATATTCCTTTGAACTGTTTGCTTTTTGGGTTGTTTTTGTTGTTGTTTTTTGAGGTTGTTTTGTTTTGTTTTGTTTTGAGACAGGGTCTTAAGTAGCCTAGACTAGCTTCAAACCTGCTTTGTAGCTGAGGTCTGCCTCGAACTTCTGATCTGCCTCCATCTCCCAAGTGCTACAGTGACAAGTGTGTGTCACTACATTCAACAAACTGGTGTTTTAGAAAACACGTTTAGTAATAATTTTAAAAGCATCTATCCAACACAATTATTTAAAACTAAAAATTAAATACTGTCTTTGGTTTGGTTGATCTATTAGGGTTTAATATTAATATATGCAACCTTGGTCAGTTAGTTAACCTCCCATGCCTCAGTTTCCACATCTTAAAAATGGAAGCAACAGGCAGGGTTGTTGTTTAGAGGGAAAGAGAACATGACCAGGTAGAGGGGAAAGAGAGAAGCTGCCAGGGAGAGGCAGTAGGAGGGAATGCTGAGGGAGACTGAAGGCTGTCAATTTCACCTGTTTCCATGAGACCCTGAGGCTCTGGAAGCTGACATCATGCCTCACACTCACTCTTTAGGTGCCCAGCCTAGGATTCAGCAGACACAAGAGGGCCAAAGCATTGCTGCATTGTATGCTGTTGTCCCTGAAGTTCAGAGCTACAGCCATGACAGTCACCATAGACAGTTCCAAGGATCTTTGACTGATGTCTAGAAGGCCTCCAGAGACAATTGGCTCAGCCTTCCTTTTTCATCTGATGTTTAATTCTTTCTATCCTGAGACTTTTCCCCCAGAGGCCCCTCCTAACACATACTCACACACATCCAAGTCAACGCAGTACAGAGAGGAAATGATTATCTGTCCTTAGAAAACGAGACATTTCAAGAGAACAATGTCAGCTGCTATCACCAAGCGCCTGCCACACCAGCATTTCATTTATCTCCAACTCTTATTCTTTTTGAGGGATACATACTACCTTTATTCTACAAGCAATTCCAGGAGGCGTAGTGAAGTCAAACAGCTTGCTTACTGCCCCTTAGTTAATAAGGGTGACAGTATAATCTAGTTAAGATCTATTGGATTTCAAAGCTCCTGGCCTTCTTATACTCTAAGTTCTTCATCATCAATCTATCAACTTTCAGTTCAAAATAGAGCAGCAAATACAAGCCTGCCCAGCATCCCGGAGCAGAAGCAGAGGCTGTCTGAAGGACTCCTCTGGGATGAAAAAGATTGGGTCATTGGCAGTCCCTAGAAGTATGTGTTGGAAGTGTGGGGTAACACCTGGCCACACCATCCTCCAGCTCTGTTTTGCCTGTGCACAGAGAGGAGCCTCAGGGTGTATGCTCAGAGTGAATTTATGCAAATAGCTCAGATTAGAGCACCAATTCTTAAAGATATAAACACAAAACCCAAAATAAAATGAAAACACACACACACACACACACACACACACACACACACACGTCTTTCTTCACAATCCCACTGCCCTTCGCTTCCATGTTCTTGCCTCCAGTCTCTAAGCACATGACTCTTGAGTCATCTATCAACAACCACGGTGATGGCCTTCCTCACCCTGTAGAGGGTAGAGGGACAGCTCCCTTGGACAAAGTTCCTCTCAGCAGCAATGACTGTCTAGTGGGCCATCTACTTGTGTCACAGAGGCCCCGGGAGGTCTTTTCTCCCATCTTTTCTATTCATACGACTTCATTTAAGTACTCTGTGTTTAAATCAGCTGGACATTTCCCCATTTCTCTGCTTCCTTCGCAACAAATTCTTAGAAGAGCTATAAATACGAGAAGAGCCATTTTCCTGAAAGCAGAACATCTATCTCTCTTGTTCCTGGATTCTCACTAGCCTGCCTTTCACTCTCTGTACTCTGGAAGACCCATAATTAACAAGGCCACTGAGGACCTTGGGGCTAGCAAATGAAAACACATTTCTTCATGTTTTTTTTTTTTTTTTCTGTCTTGGAACTGACAGCGCTGGGCTTTACAGTGTCTCAGGGTTCAATCTAAGGCCTCATACAAGATAAGCAAGAAATCTAGTCTTCAAGGTTTTAGTTAACAGATATTAATAGGGTAGGGGAAGGAAAAAAGAGACAAATATATGAATTGTTAATCTAGTTTCTAGGACTCCCTCTTAATTTCCCTATCAACCTCAATCTCTTCATCAGAGGGTCCCTGGGTCATTCTTCTCCATCTTTATGTCTTTCCGTTTATATCAGACCTTAGACAGAGCCATTCATGATCAGAAATTCATCCATACTCATCCATAGATCATTTTATAATATATATATATATATATATATCCTATGAGGTAGCTCTCTATATTGTCTCCTTCTGGCACTTTCTTACTAGTGCTCTGCTTGTTAATACATAGTGGAGATGCTTTGGATATACACACACTCAGCTTTGTAGGCCTTTAGTTTACACTGTAGAGATGGTCTTTTGTGTCCATGTACTTCAGAAGAGCAGGAAGCACATAGAACATGGAATGGTCTATAGGAGGAACTGGCCAGCATTGAACCCTAACTCCTGACTACAGGTCAACTAAACCATGGCCCTTCAAACTTCACCATCACCCTTGGACTTGAGTGAGTCTCAGACTTTCTGGGCTCATCAAAACTATTATCTTTGCAGTTAGAAGCCAAAACAAACACTAATGGTCGAAGAGGACAACCAGTCCCTGAGCTTAGGGAGTAGCCTGTGAGCAAAAGTCTTCCCCATAGCTGCCATGATGGGGCAGAGGAAGCTTCTGAAGAGCTGTAACTTGGTCACATGCATCTCTGTAGTCCCAAGGAGGTGGTGTCTGAGAAGGAGACAGTACCAGCTGCCTCTTGGGGTATAAACAGATATGTGACTATGGAGTACTCAAGCAATTATCTGACCTGGACTGAACTGGAAAAATCCCAAGTGAAATTTGGATGAGCCAAAGAAAGCCAAGAAGGTGGCAGGAGAACCAGCAAAGGAAAAAGGACGTACATGTAGCTGATTCTTGCTACTCCAGGACGTGTGATCTATCTCTGACATCACTGTGAACACTGGAGTCCTGAATGCTGAACTGTCTCCTGGGAGAAATACAGGGTCAAGCTCCTGTGAGCCTTGAGTTACAACATTTTTCATCACATTGATTTATGTGTTTTCTCTCTAAAGTCTTCTTGTTTGAAAGACAGTGTTGGTTTATTAGCAATGAGCCACCAACAAGCTGCATTGCTCACAGAGGGAATTAAGCTTATCACACACATACAGTTTCTCCAGCAGGCACACTATGGCTTCTTGAATTTAACAGTACACAACACTTTAGTACTAAACTTAGGAACCATTTTAAGTAACAAAATCAATGACTATAACTCCAACCCCTGCAAACCCCTCAACAATAACAACAAACGACGCCATAGCAGTAAGTCAG